GGTGATAAACAACTCGGCCTAAGGTTAACTGTTCTAGACTCTGTGGAGATATTATTGCTCTGCTTGTATTGTTCCACAGTATGGCATTAAAGTGATTTTCCTTGTATTCAGTTTCTAGTGTTGTTATTACTCAAGATGCTTTGAAAAATCATGCATTATTATTGTGAGTGGAGTCGCCTCTCTGTAGATCTGACCTGTAAACTCTATCATATCATCATTATGACATGCCACATGAGGGGACAGTCCAGACAAAGCAATTTCCATGGAAACAAAATAGTTGCGGACCCTCATCCAGAAAACCAACCAACCAGAACTACACCACTATGTTTTTTCTCTCTTCACTTTGCCATAACACAGCAGTACATCATTATGCAAAGTTGTACTTGTTTATCCTTGATTCATGTTTATTTCTTTTCTGACAGCATGTAGGTGTCTGCCTAAGGTCAATGCCCAGCCTATTGCAATCATTATTACTGACTCGATTGGGTTTAGCCATCAACATCGACCACCAGGGCTAAACAAAAAGTGTTGCAGAGTCTCAAGGTGGAAATCCTTCATGTTTCTGGTAGAAGAGCAAAACTCATAGAGATACATGAGTCAAAGCAAAGCTGAAAGTAGAGATAGATAGAGATGAGGCCGATATTTGGGCTTTGTAGCGTAATCAGCCTTAAATGTATGTATTTATTGTTGTTTATTTGAATAAGGACAGATACACAAACATATTAACAATTTAGTAATCTGATGCAGGTATCACAGTGTTTATAGACTTACCTCATTCACAGGACCATTCCCCAGAAGAGCATTTAAACTGTTCACTAGAAAACTGTGGGATTACTTTTACAAAAAGCAATAAATACAGTGAATGTGTCAAGAGAATTCCACACTCACATTTCACTCTTTCTCAGCCTCCTCTCTCCAGCATAGGCCGATGATTTATTATGGCCTAAAGAATACACACAAAGCTTTATATTAACACTTTAATACGGAGAGACAGCTGCACAAAACATGACTACACAGCTCTCTTAAACGTGTGTGGTAAAAAAAAAAAAAAAAAAAAAGATTGTGGTCAATCTCTAGTAAATTTTAATTACATAATTTGGGGAAAATAATCACAATTGGCCCCAAAATAGTTTATTGGCCATGAAAAAACATTGTTTGATCTCAAGCTAAAAAGTAAACAAAGCTCTGATTTGCACTTTTAGCTTTTATGTTTTATACCATATACACATTATTCTAATTTTGTACATTACACATTTTATGATCCACCTTGTTAGGGTATATAATTTACTTGTTGTTTGCATATAGAAAATATAGTACAGGATTCCACTAGAGAGGGATTTCAATAGAGATAGACCAATGTATTGATTGGCCGATACATTGGGCGGATATTTACCATTTTTAGCATATCGGTTACCTGCCTTAAATCTCCAGCAGTGGCCGATATTTTATTAGGCTCACCCAGCTGCATAAATATGCATAAATATTATACAAGTATCTATAAAGCTTAATTTGAACAATTTAGGTGGTACTGCAAAACAGCTCTCTTATCCAATTTGTAATAAAACAAAGTTGTGGATGAGTTTGTAGTGTAGATAATTTGGGGAAAATTATCAAAATCGGCCCAAAAATATCATGCACACCTTAATGGCCATCGATTTCTGTGGCTTCTAAACAATTGGCATCGTCATCAGCCATGAAAAAACCTACATCAGTCCATCTCTAGATTTTGTTACACTAAGTTCTCATTTAAGCATAATTTTCACTCCAAAACGCATATTAGACGAAAAGTTAGCAGTGTGATACTGAGAGAATAAATTGACCTGTCAGGCCTTTTCTGCGCACATTTTTTAGCTAGTCCATGAATAAATCTCTGTGTTAATTATGAAATAGTGCCACTGAAGAGAGAACATGCTAAATGGAAAACAGTACTATGCTCGGTAATTATCCACTCAGATCCTTGTAGTTTGTGTTATTAATCAGAAGCCCTAATGGATAAGCCTGTTGTGTTAGCCTTGATCCTTTTGCGCTGTTTTCTCGTATTGTTCGGCAGAGGCACTGATGAATAATGGTGAGGGTATTGTTTGTGTAACCTGAAATCACTGTTTATAACACGGCAGCCCTCATCCTCTTCTCTGTAAACATGTAGGCGCATAGGCTAGTTTAGACACAAACACTCACGTACAGATGGAGGCATTTTAAAGCACAGATTTATGCTCTTCTTTCACAAAATGCTATAAGTGAAAACATATGATATTTTTATTGTGTTGGTTGTCCATTCAAAAGCACAAAAGCACACAAAATGGACCACTAACCACTGTGAAGCAGATCTTTGCAATGAATCAAAAAGGCCAGCGAGCTCACAGTGTCTCAAAGCTTAGTCACTTTTTTATTAAAATTTTAAAAACATAAAATATACAACCTATTAAAATTCTAATAAATTTAAATAAAGACTGCCTGATTATTACTATATGTAAAATGCTTAAGTTTGTGGTGTTGTTTTAGTATTTGTTATGCCTCAAAATTAGCATTAGCATTAGCATTAGCACTGAGACAAAAAAAATTATCTAAAAGTGTCCTGAAGTAATAATTTTACTGTGTACTTTTTAACTTTTATGTTGTCAGAGACCTCCACCCACATCTTCGTGTTCCCCGCCTTTTCTTTAATTATTTATTCATTTTAGTGCAACTCAGCAAAAACCACACAGAGATAAAATTGTCTGGGAAGTCATGATGCTAACAGCGCTGTTTTGCACAGAGCCCATTTAAACTGAGATGGAGATGGGTTTTGTAATCTAGAGGACCACAGCCAGTCCTTTGTTAGAGGAAGGATGTGTTCGCACTTGCCCTTGTCTGGTCCCGTCTTCAGCCCAGTTTAATCCTGATGTAGACTTGGTTTGGTCTTGTTCTAGTCCTGGTTTAGCCCTAGTCTCATCCAGTTTGAGCTCTGGGATTAGACTCACACACCAGGAGTTTCATTCAGAAGTTGCGATGAGGGATAACGGGTTAAAACCACTTTATCTGTAATTTAGGTAATGGGCTATAAATGTTTGGGTTTTTTTTTTTTTTTTGCACCTGCCATAATTCTTGTGATATCACTTCACTATCAGAGCGAACCCCTACACTTTACCTGTTTCCTAACACCCATCCCTCTTCCTCACTCACTCCTCTCCTCTTCGCCATTCCCTTGTAGTTGTCCTACTTCCTCCTGTGAGCCGCTCGTGAGCGCCCTTCCTGCTGGGCCCCTCCCCCCCTTGTCCTCATTTGTCGGTGGTCTCTCCTCAGATAACCTCGCCCTCTCCATAGGGTTGCGTGCGTACAGATGTCTACTTTCAGGGCAAGGTTGAAGAAGCCCCACTAACGCTCTGCTTGCATCTCTCACAGAGCTGTTATTCTAAGATGATCTGTTTAACCAACCTGCAGGATCTGCATCTGTTTGGTGCAACACTTTTTTGATGTAGGACCAGTAAAATGTGTTACATGTATACACATCTGTGGCAATATTTTCTTTAGAGTTTGATTGCAAATGTACAGAGTAGTATTCAAATTTGTTTCTTGTTTCTTTACTCAAATTACATTGTCATCATCAAAGCTTTATTTTTTACATTGAAGTACACAGACAATAGTACATTGAAGTACACAGACAACCGCAATACAAAAATCAATAAGTAAATATCCTGTAGAGTCTCAGACACCATAAATCCTCATACTAGAAAAGTATCACACTGAGCTAAGTGCACTGTTGGTTAGTTTACGGTTACAATAAACAGTTTTTGTGCCAGTGCACAAAATATGTACCCAGCCCTTTGGCACTGATGAATTATTTCTCAAATTTACACCAAAAGGTGTCACTTTTCCACAGTACTGACCATGCACACTGCAGCCTTCTCTGGCTTTATTTTTATTGTGACAAATCCATAGAGCTAGCTGTAAACACATTATTCCCTTTCGTTAGCGTCGAATGTCTGATAGTTGTTTCGGGATTAGAGATCGACCAATATGGGTTTTTCATGGCCGATGTCAGTACTGAATGTTTAGAATCCAGAGCAACCAATGTTATCATGAGTTCTGCCAATATTTTTGGGCTGATATCTAGGGCAGATTTAAATTTTGTCCCCCAAATTATGTAATAAAAATGTACTAAAACTCACTTACAGCACTTTTTTCACCTCAGACCCATAAGAGATCTTTGTAGTCACATTTTCAGTTATCTATTTGCACTAATGTGTTCAAATAAAGCTTTAGGGGTAGTTTTACTATGCCTAAAACTAAGGCTGAGTTAATTAAAAACTCCAAATATAGTCCCAGTGTATAGACCCGATATATTGATCTGTCTCTACTCAGGATCTTGCCCAACCTATAGTAGAAAAAGTGCACATGGAAGTAGTTTTGAAGAGGCATAGACTGTATAGCTAGTGTTCCAAATAGGAAGTGGACATGGGGTCACGTCTGGCTCCTTCGACTTTACATTGAAAAATGATCACCCCTCTCTGTAACTGCAGCTGTGAGCCTCGTCATTTTGGTCTTAAAATGTTCGTATTAACGCGCTCTACATGATCTTGATGATGGTATAATTTACCAACTCACTGATCAGTTTTGTTTTCCTGCAGCCTGCTGATTTGTGTGTATCACCAGCTCACAGACACTCAGCTCTATGTCATTATTCATAGGCTGTATCCAGATGGCGCATGTTTGCTTCTGTGTAAGAGAAATGAACACTGTAAACTAATAATTCATCTCATACTATAACATGTCAATCATCTCTGCCGCAAGCCACAGATCCATCCTCTTCCATTAATTCTTTGACACTTTATCATTGTAATTTTATGAGCTTTGTCCTTGTGTCTGCCGAATTATAGGCTAGGAGTGATAGGGTTTCACTGAATATGCTAATGGACTGACACCTGTATTTATACACCGAGGGGAAATACTCACATCCACAACTGAAGCCAAAAGCAGAAGGAGAAAGATCTAAGCATCATTGGTGTGTTTTGTCTGTGCAGTGATGGAGCCCATGACGGTGACGACGTCAGTGGTCGGGCCGGAGGAGTTCGACCGGAATGCTCCCCGGATCTGTGGAGTGTGTGGGGACAAGGCGACAGGATTCCACTTTAACGCCATGACCTGCGAGGGCTGCAAGGGCTTCTTCAGGTGAGCTCTCTGAAACACGACAGTTTTTCACCTGTTTTTACCTTGGAGGGAAGGGGCTAGAGCTACTTTTATATAACAGAAGTGGCTGGGCATTTAATCAAATTAATTTGACTAATCCAGGTTTTTAATAATTTGCATAAAAAGTGCAAAATTGTGAAATTAAGGATTATGAAACAAGTTTACTCCTGACTTTCTTACTTCTAAAACAGTGTTTTTGTGCAATTACTATTAGATATCTATGCAAACATAATTTAGGGTGGTTTACAATTTCTTAAATAATAGTTTATGATGAGAATGAAAATGTAAAGAGGTTCCCCTGTTTGAAAGAATAGCAGTCCCTGCTCTGACTTCTATTAAAATGGATTAAAATCCTTTTGGCCATATCCCCCAGCCCTGCAGAGAGCTAATCCTGTTAGCAGTCGCAAGAAATTTAGTTGATATGATGGTGACACTGAGCCTAGATGGGGTACAGTATGACTATAAAACATAAATCCTTATACATTCATTAGTGCTCAAGGTTACTATACGTTTACAGTGCTAATGCTCTTGATGAATCAAATTATGGAGAATTTCTAAATCCCTTAGAGAGCTACTCATACTGCCCAAGATACTTGTTGGAAATCTCTGGTTTGAAAAATGGTAATCTTAACACCTGTTATTGTCAGTTACAGCAAGTAATTAATAGTTATAGCTTGAGGGGTTGTTAAAATACAAAGTATATTTTTTCAGAGTAGCTGTACTTCTATTTGAGTATTCAAGGTCAGTTCCGTAAAATAGACTCTATATTATCCATAACACATTTTAGACAAATTTAAACTGTGCCTGGACCGTACACTAATGAGTTGTGCAGTAGAGAAAATTGTGGGTGGTGGAGAAACTGATATATCAGAACAACTATGGAAGCCAAGAATGCAAAACTACTTCTGAATCTAAGATGAGTCTAAAAATAATAAAGTAAAATCCGAATGAAATATTTACTCTGAAAGCCAGTATAGTTCTCTAAGGAAAGGTACCAAATTTAAATATGATGTCCATAAACCTATTGGAATGTCATTTTTTAAATGCATACGTGGGTCGTCTTTGTTCCAATGGTCTTCTACTTTTACAGTAGCTTCTTGCATAATTTTAACCAATACAAATTTATACAGAAAAACTTCCTTCTCCTTGACATTTCTCAACTCCTCACAGAGCTCAGAACACATATTTAGGTTTGTTTTGGCTCTAATAAATAATAATAATAACACATTAGTCTTATATAGCACTTTTCCAGGTGCTCAAAGCTGCAATTTAGTGCATTATTTATTCACTCCATGAATAATGCATCAAACTGGTGGTAAGCTACAAAATTAGTGTTTCAGACAACATTACAGCTTTCTATGAGCCAATATTACTAAATGCATATGGGGCAGCTAAAATGTATAGTTAAATGGTATATTTTTTTACTAGGGATGTAACGATATCTAAATCTTTCGATACAGTATTTTAACAATATTCGTTTTACTTATCTTTGTCTTATCTTAACTTTGTGTAGGCTAACAAAAGTGTGGATATGCTACTTTTCAGTCATAATACATATAATTAAGATGTAAAAACTTTTAATATCAGTTATTTCATCAGGTAGATTGGACTGAAGCAGTGGAAAGGATCATGGTCTATGTAGTTCACTCTGTTTTTTAGCTGTTGCCGCACCATAACAATAAATTTAATCAGAGAAACTTGTAATTTGATATATTTTGATGAGACTTTTGACAATACAATATCACAGTATTCTGGTTATTATTATATCCCTAGCAAGCACTAGGGTAGAGTCACTGATCTAAATGACCAGGTTCAACATTTGTGAATTTACTTTTTGCATATTTCATGGGAAAGTACAGTGTCATCAATAGGGAAAACTGGCTCTTGCCTCCCATCAGAATATATATATATATACATCATCTCATTCTGTGTAAAATCCTTCAGTCATCCAAGTAGAATCCATGACAAAAGGAGAAATTCAATTTGTCAACTGGACAAAAAAATAAATAAATAACCTTTTGTCCAGCTGACAAATTGAATTTGTCCTTTTGCCATCGTGTCATTCTGAAAACCACCAATAACTTCATATGCATATGTTCTATTGATTCTAAGGTGGATTGTGTAACTTTTCTAGTGGAGGTTCTGTCAAATGCTTTTCTCCATGGAGATGTAGATGTTGCCTGGAATGTTTCACGGTATGATATTAAAACTTTCTATCTTTATGGAGACCAAACCAGACCAATATACAGGTCAGATCTGTGGAGAGGCAACCCTGCTCACAGTTAGAATGTCTGTTTTCCAGGTATTTTTGAGCTATAAAAGCACCTGTAATTTAATAAGGTACGATAAGGTAGAGCTGTTTTTAATGTCATACTGTGAAACCTTCCAGGCAGAGCAATGACATATCCATAGAAACAAGTAGGGACAGATCCCCAACCAAAAAGTTACATAGTGCACCTTTTAAAATATGTGTGCTCCTACAGACGCAGTATGAAGCGCAAAGCCAACTTCACCTGTCCCTTCAACGGGAGCTGCACCATCACCAAGGACAACCGCCGCCACTGTCAGGCCTGCCGCCTCAAACGCTGCATCGACATCGGCATGATGAAAGAATGTGAGTAGCCTCCTTCACTGTGGATAACTGGGAGTTAGATTTGACCTTTTGCCAATAGGGCTGGGAATCACAGGGTCCCTCACTATTCGATACGATACTTGATACATGGTTCACGATTTATCATAACATGGAGATATACTAGATACAATAATCAACATTTTGCTCATGATATTTATCAATATATCATTATTTTAAAGAACCAAATTTATTTTAACAACAGTATTTCTTTGTTGAACCACTACTTGTGCAAAGTCTATATGGAATAAACCAGTTGTATTAAAACAGTGAATATGTCAAGTGTAACAACAAGTTTCCTCTCTGAACAAACATCAAAATTGTTGCATTGTTATTAAATAAGTTAGTAAACTATACCATAAAATTCTCTTGGCAATGTATACATACAGCAGCCCACGATAAGGATACAATATCACCAAATTTAGTATCAGGATATATTGATATTTTGATATTTTAAGAACACCCCTAATTGGCACGATAGGATAGCTTTGTTTACTTCAACTTCACTTGTTACATAATTAGTAGTTTGTGAGGTAGCTCCTTTTATTTATCTATTTCTTATCTCAAATATGACAGTATTGTACATTTACAGATGAAGTGGAATGCTCATATTTTTATTTCACCCATATGTACTCAAGCTTATTAACACTATCACGGGCTATGGCATTGTACCAGATAGAAAAACAAAATTAAAAGTGATTTTTGACTCTAAAAAGGTTTGTCCTTGTACTGTGCCCGTGCTGATTCTCATTATTTCTGATTCAAAATTACAAAATAAGAACAATAAATAATAATAATAATAATATAATAATAATAATAATAATCAACAACATTGCTCCTTCCTTGCCATTGATTTGCATTCAAGCAGAAAATGCCTCACTACCTGACATAGACTGTCTGCCAGGATTATTGTCTGGGGGCCTCTGTTTTCCACCTGCCTAATCTAATATGTAAAGACCACCCAAAGGACAGTGGTCACCCAGATCGATTTCCAGTCTAAGTGGATCTGATCTGAGAAAGTGAGACAGGCTATTGTGGCTTTGCATGGACCATATGTTTATACCTTCCTCCAGCCAATCCTGCGCCATATAAGTTATTAAGTTCGATTTGCTGAATTGCTTTGAAATGTGCCTCAAACAAATTATAACACAAAAATAAGTAAATAGAAAAGGCATTACAGTGTCTGCTGTAAATGCAAGATGACTTCTTGTCTCTAAACATTCGCATTCAAGGTTCTATATTACACAAAATTGACTCTTGTCAGCTTTAAGCCCCATTATGATGCTGTTACCTCATCAAAAACATATCCGGAGTCGTGTTTTGTTTCATTCACACTTGTGTGAGTAACACTTTATTATTAATCTGGCTACATCTGTAAAGCTCAGAATGCAGTAGTTTTTAAGTTAGCACCTACCCTTTATCTTTGGTTCAGCAATTCTATGGCTGAAAATATTCAAACCATTCTAGTTAAAGTGTCTGGAGTTTAAAAACACAGGGAAGCATTACAAGTATCACCACATGACATAAAATGGAACAGAGTGTTTTGTTTGAGAGAAGAACTCAGTCTAAATATGCAGGATCTGTGTGTTAAACATGTGTGAATGAAACAAAATACAACTTCAAAAGACAACTGTTATGATCCAGCTCTCTAAAGTCAGGGAGGTAACAAAAAACAAGGTGAAAAATTGTATAGATTAAGTCATAATATAATGAACAGGAAAGTAAAAGGCAAAATAATAAAAGTGGTTTAAAACATACACAAAATAACTTAATCTTGTTATTTTGTTTCTTTGTTTAACAAATAACAAGTTTTGTGCCAAACTGTGGGTCACGTAGGTCTATAAAAAACAAACAAGTGACTAAACTAAGGGTCAGATAACACACAACTAAATCACGAGTGTCCCAAAATAAAGTCATATAAACCCACAAACAGAATCAAGTGACAAATAAAAAGACACAAAACAGATCTAAACTAGACTTTGCACAAACAAAGTCAGACATGTACTAGCACAAATCAAAGTGATTGACACAAAAGAGACACAGACACTAAATGACAAACTGACCTCAAAGACCAGCAGCCCTGAACAAGTCTGTCTGATCTGCTTAAATAGGAGGAGTTGGCTGCAGGTGAGGTGGGATTGGCCCGGTGTAGACATGCCCCACCAGTCAGGGACCAGGATCCAGCAGCCAACCAAGACCAGGCAGAAGAGCGGTTCACCAATCAGCTGCAAGGGCTCTCACTGCAGAAATTAGTATGGACAGCAAAAAAAATTAAAACACACACAAAACAAGATAGAGAACTGGAGGCCTGGGGCCATAACAACAACTTTTGATGTGGAACAACATTATAGCATAGATATGAAAATAGCAAAATATGGGCCTTTTTATTAATTAAGTTCTTTTTGTTCTTTTGTTTAGTCATATGTATGTATGTAATTGTCAAAACAGATTTTCTTCTATGCTTTTGAATTTTATCTTGAGCCTATATGCCACTGGAGCCAGCAGGTTTGTAACAGTAGGCATTTTGACACATACACAGTATTTCTGGCAAGCTTGTGTTAGGGATAGATATAAAAAGGGCAGAGGTTAAACTGAGGATGGTCAGGTGCTGAAAATGTTTTGGTTATTTTTATTATGCATTTTTTACACCAATAAATTATTAAGATATTTATAAATCAATTATTTAGTTATTTATAGGGATGTAACAATAGCTGAAATATCGTGATATCGTTTTCACACATAATTATAATAGTAATCACAATATATCGAATTACAAGTCTCTTTGGTTAAATTAAGTGTTATGGTACAGCAATAGCTAAAAAAAAAGACAGAGGGAACTACATAGACCGTGATCCTTTGCTCCATTTCAGTGTAGACTACATGAATGAACTGTTCTAAGCACTTTTGAGTTTTAGTTCTTTGGATTAAGTTTTGTCAAGGCACAACACAAAATATCGGAAAAAATATTGCACCAAGAGATTTGGGTATTGTTACATTTCTAATCATGAGCCTCTCCACCATATCGCGATATCACAATAAATCACACCGTGAGGTTCATACTGTGATGATATTGTATCATGAGACTTTGATATTGTTACACCTCTAGGTATAGAGGACAGAAGTCGTTTTCATATTTGACATATTTCACAGAACGACATACATTTTTTTAGTTTATCAATTTGTAATTTAGGATTTTCATTAAAAGTATATATATATGTGTTGACAAAGCCATATCACACCATAATAAAGCACCACTCAAATATATCACTGTTCTGTCTGCCAGTGAACCTACTACACCACTCTCTGTATAACTGCCTCTTCACAGGCGTAGAGTGGAGACGTCAGAGTTGTGCTGCAGTGATAGTGTTGATATTGTCTCCTCTGGTGTGTTGGTGAAGAGGATTAGATTCACAGGAGAGGGTCTGAACAGTTTTTCAGATGAACGCGTCCCTCCCTCCATCTCGTTCAATAGTCGTTTTGGCAAAGCTGTGCCTGTGGAGCTGCCCTCTACCTTCTCCTCTGCCTCACTGCATTTCACACCGGGGCTGCACATAAGCTTTATTACAGATATCCCAAAGTGTTACGAATATCTCGCACTCAATTTCACATCCTCCAACAGCTTAACCAGGTGAAGAGGCTGGAGTAATATATACACTTGGACTTCGACAAACTTTATTGATCCACAAGGGAAATTATTTGGACGCAGTAGCTGTGCTATAATAACAAAGAGCAAAAATATAAATGGTAATAATTTTTAAAAATAGCAAGAGACTGGTGTCAAATAAGGCATAATTATATAAATGCATATGTACAAGTAAAAATAAAATATAGAAACATAGTAAGACACATATATCTCAGCTATATACAAGAGGTCATTTGGAAAAACAGAGCAAAGATGATATAATGAGTGACATTATTACAACATTATTATCAGGGTTATCTGAAGAGTTCATTTGCAAAAACTGATATTATCTGTAGAAAATGACAACAAAATGAAAAATACTTGTTGCCAATTTTTCAAAACAGAGATATCATCATATGTTATACCAGTCCAGCTTTGTCCAGTCCTTCATGATGTTTTTATAAGTCATTTAGGGTCCTCTGTGGCGTGTGTGAGTGCCCTGATCGCTGCCTGACCTAAATTCACCTCTGCACATTATGCCCTGGAGCAGTCGTGGGAAAAACAACAGACAAGCAAATTAAAGCAACCGTATAACAGCATACAGCTCTGTGTCAAGGTTTGAGGCTAACGTTACATGATTGTGCTGTGTCTTTGCTCGGAAAAACATGGAAATATGTTTTGTTTTCATTTCATGTCATTAATATTTAATTCAATAAAATGTAGTTTTAAAAAAAGTCTCTGGAAAAACATGTGCAAAACACTCAACATACGTTGAGAGACAATCTTTACAGATGACATATGGCACAGTGAAATAAACAAGATATAAAGATTAAAGTGCTACAGTATGTCAAAGTTCAAAGTGTATTGTCCAAGCTTCTAAGACCATGTTATTTTGTAAACATGACAAAGCTGCACAGACAAATTGAGACAATAAAGTGAGCAAATCAAAAATAAAAACTGTTCAAATACATAAAGCTTATAAAAAAAACATACTTCAGAACATTCACCACAGTTAAGTTGCCATACTGTTGAATATTATAAACAAAAGAACCAAAAAACACACAAAAAACATGCTTTGAAAATGTAGTTAAAGTTACATTCTGTGGCTTTAATTATAGATAAGGTGATTGCAAAACTTTATCAAGATGTTATCTTTGTGGAAAAGATTGCATCAGGACCGTGTCGGTGTGAATTAGCCTTTCACAGCCAGATGCGCATATTTGCTCTACGTTCTCCAGTCCCTTCCCTGATGTTCAGCACAAACGCAGACACGCCCACATTCAAATCCTTTGGAAAACCATCTCCTCCAAAGGGCGTCCATCTTGCCCGTGTTTACCAAACCTGTCTTTAGTCCTCCTCTGTACCCATTCCGCCTTCAGCCTTCCCAACGGCTGTCTTTCGGTAAATGCGCCAGCCTCTGCCAAGCGCTGTGGGGTGGTCAGGATGCTCCTTTGATGCTCCCTTGTTGTTGGGCCTTAATGATGCCATCAAGGGCTGAGACTTGGCCGGACGCTCCCATCCTTCCAGCTCTCCCTGAGAATAGCCACTCGCTTGGTTTCTCCTGTGCCAAATCTTAACCAAACTGTGCCTATTCATACTTACAAGGAGTGGCTCTTCTTGGCCTTGGTCTTTTGGGGCAAAGCCAAAGTCTAATTAATGATGGTGGCTTGAAGGAGATGAAAGCTAATGTCAATGTCCTTTGGGGCTTGGAGGGTTTTACTTACCAATTTTAGCTAGTTGTTTTCTATGTTGCGTGGTTATGCAATGTTGCTAGTGCGGTTGCAACCAAGGATGTAATCACTAAAATCCTCTTCAAATATGCTTGTTTACCATTTCCGTGTAAGCACCCAGTATTTAGCTCCATTTAATTTCAACATTACAGTCTATGTATTTATGCATTTGCTAAGAGTCAAATATTACTTCATCTGTCTCTATTTGGATAAACAGTATAAGCCTATTTGAGCAGGATGAAGAAGCGCTCTGTGCGATTGGTGAAGGCTGGTGTGTGTGAGGTAGGTATGAGGGCTGTTTCTGGGCGGGTTTTGGTGGGGTGCCCGGCGTTTGGTCTGGCAGCAGTGGCGTCTCTGCCTGGCCGGTCCGTCTGGGAGTAAATCGGTCAGTGTGGCGCGGCGTCAGAGCGCTAATACAGGGATGAGGTTGCATCCAGGGGTCAGTGTGTTGCTGCTGCTGCTGTGGAGATCAAGGGCAGAATGGGTATATTTATGTATCAGTCCGTGGAGTTCATTAAATCTGCAGTCCCTGGCCTCTTTTCTCTTAAAGGTTCTATATTACACAAAACTGACTGTTGTGAGCTTTAAGGCATGTTATAATGTTACCTTCTTAGAAAGACACTTGGAGTTGTGTTTAGCTTCAATCATACATGTTCGAGTAACCCTTTATTATTAGACTGTCTATATCACTAAAGCTCAAAATGCTCTGTTCCACCTTGTGATGTCATGTAGTTATAGGTTTCATGTTAACAGCTCATTTTACCTTTAGTTCAATAAAGATTGGTAACTCCAGGGCTGAAAACATCGAAATCATTCTAGCTGTATGGAGTTTAAAAACACAGTGGAGCACTTTCTGTATTACCACATGACATCACAAGGTGGAAGAGTGTTTTCTGTTTGAGAGAAGAACACAGCCTAAATATATAGGGCTTGTGTGTTAAACGTGTGAATGAAACAAAACACAACTCCAGGTACGTTTGTCATGAGGAAATATATATATAATAATAATGTATCATAATATATAATATATTATAACATCTAGATCAGAGAATAGAATAATATGGACCCTTTAAGGACAGAAAATAAACATTTTATCACAGACCGGTGGAGAATTGGCTTAGTCAGTAAAGCCCATTGATTTTGATACTAAGGAATAGTTTTGATACTCAAAACTGATGTCAACACCACATTGATGATAAAAACGCTATTTTCAATACTTTTCAATACAAAATATTAAGTCATGTATGTTACCATGAGGTCTTATACTTCTAATAAATTCAAGATCACTCTAAAAGTGTTCAGGAAAGGTCAGATTCTGCCCTTTTTATGTGATTTTTATTTTTTGAAATGATACTTTCCCAACTGAGAAGCTAGTTTTGATATTAGTTTTATCTAATTTTTGCTCCTTTTGACAACCTTATCTTATGCATAGACACAGTCCCATAAATAATGAGTGGCACTGGTGCAGAGGGATTATAACTGGGAGGTTGACGGTCGGAATCTCACGCTCAGCTTTACTGTACTTTGTTTGTGTCTATGAGCAAGGCGCTTCGTACATTTTGTCTGTGGGAATGCCGTGGTCTCTTTACTTAGATAATCCTGGTATCATCATCTTTTGTAGCAATGCCAAATTCAAAAGCAGATTTGATCCATAGATTATAACAGGAAAAAGAGAGCGCTGTCTTTGATGATTTTTTAAATAAATGCTTTCAGTGAATTGAACTTTGATTTTCCGAGAAGAGTGCCATGATTTATTGTGAAATGGATTAAGGCACCATCATCCAAAAACTCCCAAAAAGTCTTAATTAAAACAAGAAGATTTTTTAGATGTTTTAAAGTTCTTTTAGTACACATCTTTAAGTCGGGGCGGACCTCATCTTACATATATACTGAGAATGTGTTTCCATAGTGACACAGACAACAAACAAGCCATGTACCATGTTTTAATTATATAGTTACTGGACTAATTGCATGTTTACCATTGAAGTTGTTGTTTCCACCTCCTCAATGTCTCTACACTCGACAAATTACTTTTCACTTTCTTTCTTAATCACCATCGCTGAATTTCACTTGTGGCTGTCACAGATGTGTATTATTGTTTCATCTGTTATAGTACGTGTTTATAGCCATCAACATGAAGCTATGAGCCAAAAACTGTAGGGTCATCACATTGAAGAAAGATAATGCAAGACAGTAAAAGGGTTATAGGAGAATCACACTCGTTTTGAAGGAGGAGTCTCACTTTGCAATTTAAAGTGAGAGTAAAAACCTGAGCTCCTCCCAAAAACACATTTCAAATAGAGCTGTTAACTTGGGCAGTACCAGGAGAACTAAAGGGGAGAGTGAGGGTGGAGGAGGGCTGGGTGTAGAGGTGTAAGGAAGAGCGTGATTGGTCTAACAGGTATCCACTCTTCAAACTCCACCCCCGGAGACAGAAGTTTTTAATCAGAAACACTGCATTGTAAGTCTTGTGTGATATCACCAAGTATTTAACATTTGCAGTGGCCAGACAGCAGCACATACTCTTAGTTTTTGACACAAAACTGCTAATTTTCTTTACACAAAAATGTCAAAAATAAAGCACTAGGAACTGTAGATAGTCCTATTAAAACACCAGTTGCACAGTTTAATCAACAAATTGATTTATTGTTTGGTTTGTTGTTTAGTTTCACTTTAATCCCTAATGACTAATCTTCAACCAACAGACTGGAGGCTAACAAAATTAATAAAATGCAACTTTTTCCTTTTAAAATACCTTGACAAGCCTTTTGTTCTGTTATAATGCTGTCACAAAGAATCAAGATTAAAAAGTGGTTAATAAGTTATTTCTTCATGTAGTTGGCAGTGAAACGGAGCAAAGGATCGTGGTCTGTGTAGTTACCTCTGTTTTTTTACTTATTGCTGCACTGTAATTATTAATTTAAGCAAAGAGACCTGTAATTTGATAATAGCCTATGATATTATTGTGAAAATTTTAACAATACAATACCACAATATTTCAGTTATTGTAACACTTCCAGCTAAAACTAAGCTTATAGACCCTTTGGTGCACTGCTGGGAGGCATATGTGGACTGAGACATGCTCATGCAGTCCAGCCTTAAGAGTGTTGCTATAAACAGTGTAGAAACCATTGGGGCGTCCCTTCTGTGCCACTCTCTCCTTCTGCCCCATGAATAAAGCAAAAGGCACTTAAGCAACCAACACCCGCTCCATCAGCTGTAGAGTCCTGCCCACAACCTAAGGATCTGCACGCTCCGAAGAGTGTTGGGAAAATAACTCCTAACCCTCTCCCTCTCCAATCCGAAAAGTATTTTTACATACAGCATAGCTGTGTCTGTCTGTCTTTGCAGGCTGACTGAAGAAGGTACTTTAGCTACATTACAGTGGATCAGTTACAGTCTGATACTGGAGATGCTAATTATGTCTTCCTCTATTATTCTGATTATCTTTTCTGTGTTTTGTTCTTCAATGTGTAGATATCGAGTTTCAGCATGTATTTTTAATTTAAATCTTTTGGCAAAGCATTTTTATTTAGCATAGTCATCTAAGTTGCACCCTGATGCCAATTTGGCTGCTGTATATTAACTCACTGAATGTCTCAACGTCAGTTAGGTTTAGGCAGTCAATACAATTTTATTTAATTTAAATTTTCTTTTTATTTAATTGTATCAGTCTGTCTACATTTGCAAGAATGCTCTGTCCCTCCTTGTGATGCTGTGTAGTGGTAGTTTTCAAGTTAATAGCTACCTTTTACTCTTCTGTAGTTCAGTAGAGAGTAGCAATTCCTGGGCTGAATTCATCCAAATAATTCTGGTGAAGGAGCACTTCCTGTATTGCTACATGACAAGGTGAAACAGAGTGTTTTCTGTTTGTGAGTTCAACATGTGTGAATGCAAGAAAGCAAAACTCCAGGTACTTTTTTGATGAGGAAACAACGTTATAACATAGAACAGAAAATAACATAATATGGGCCCTTTGATACCTGTGTTTATCTTCATGAAATCCATACTTCAAGCCATTTTTATGTTGTTATTGAAAAGAAAATAATAAAACTGAATTCAGAATCAAGATTAATCAACATGAGGAAAAACTGTGATTCATGTCAATCAGCCCTAAAATCAGCAATGTCTATGTTTTGTTTTCTTGCAGTTATCCTGACAGACGAGGAGGTGCAGAGAAAGAAGGAGATGATCATGAAAAGGAAGGAGGAGGAAGCAGCTCGAGAGGCCATGAAACCCAGACTGAACGATGAGCAGGCCCGCATCATTTCTTCTCTGGTGGAGGCCCATCACAAGACCTACGATGCTTCCTACTCAGACTTCTCAAGGTTTAGGGTCAGTTGTGTTTCTTACTTATTTATATGAAAACATGGAGATGCTAGATAGTCCTGTTTTACCAGCTAGACACATAAAGTACAAAAAAAGAAAGCTGTCTGTCTTAATAGCATAATTTTCTAAGTCATTTTTGGCTTTCTGTGTCATCTACTAGGGCTGTAGTCAAAAAAATTCTCTGTTGACGAAAGACATGTCTAGCCAATCAACTAAAAAGGGGGCTTGGCAAAAGATCTCAAAATCTCAAAAATCTGTATGTATCTGACCCAAACTGCACTCACAAGACTATACCTGCATGGGAGTTAATGCAAAAACAACAATTTATGCAGAAAAAAAAGGAAACAATGTATTCATATAAAGAAATTTGTGTATCATGAGTTTAATCTATGTTTTTACATATAAATATCAAAAAATATTATATATTATCAGTTGATTTAATAAATGCCCCCAGTTCTACATTCTACTCTCTCCAGACCTTGTTACATCTGTAGGCGTCCTTGGCTCTGTTCTAGGTCATTCAGAAAGATTTTTACAGTTTAAAAATAAATAAATAAATAAACAAAAATTGCCAGAGTCATCTTCTTGACCTTAGAGGTTTATGTGTATTTTCCTGAAAACCGTGATAAATTACTTGCAGAATTATCCTTGGAACATGGAATGCCAGTCACAGATCTTTTTCTTCTTTTTTGTCACTGAACTTTTTGTCAGTTATCAGAATTAATAGAAAAAACACAGCAAAATGCAGTTGTCAGAAAATATAAAAACGCTGACATATTTAGGTTTGATCACATCACTTTACTAAACTCAAAAATGCTCAAATGAGTATCTAGTTTCTAGGTCAGGAATTGGAATACACTAGACTTTTTGCAAGAACCCGGGAAGTTGTAGACCACACACTGGCCAATCAGCAAAGAGCTGCGAAGCCATGACTGGGTCCCCTTTGTGGTACACAAAATAACACAACAGTAAACAAAGCGGTCGAGATGAATGTAGACGAAGCCATATATTCTGTGTTGGCAATGATTCCCAAGATCGAGGATTTAAAGCTGGAACAAAGAGAAAGTTTGGTGAATTTTATCAAGGGGAAAGACGTTATTGCTCTTCTTCCTACATGATTTGGCGCATTACATACATCGTGACCAAATAGCAGCAATTGGTTGAATAAAAAAAAGGTCCTAATGCTGTGCGGTCAAACGATTTCCACGAAGTGAAACCAGCTGATGAATCAGTCTAGTATCAATTATGATCTGTTGTTCAATAGTTTTGACAACCCTACAACAAATGTAGAGCTCCTATATTACACAAAATTGACTCTTGTGAGCTTAAAGCCATGTTCTAATGTTGTTACTTCATCACAAACCTAGAATTGTGGTTTATTTAATTCACACATGTCTGAGTAACCTTTTATCAAGTTAACATCTACCTTTTACCCTTAGTTTAGTAGAGACTGGCAACTCCAGATCTCAAATTATACAAATTATTCTATTGAAGGTGTATGAAGTTTATAACACAGTGGAGCACTTCCTGGGTGTTTTGGTTTGAGGGAAGAACACTGGATAAATATGGAGTATATTTGTGTGTTAAACATGTGCAAATGAAACAAAACAGACCAGAAAATAGCATAATATGGGCCCTTTAAAGATGAAGAGGTTGGTGGATCACATTGTACGCAGGCCTACTGGGATCTGGCGTTTGTCATCGTGTTACTTAAGTATGGCAGATTCAAGGCTTAGTAAGATCAAGTATTTACTCTTACCTTTATACTGTGAGTTCATCTGACACCAGTAACACAGGGATCAGACAATGTTTACGTATCATTGTCCGCCAAGTTCTCAACCTGATACTGTTCACGGGCCACTCTTTCTGTCTCATTCACAATTGGGACGTCTCCAGTAAATGAGATGAAGCGGTAGATAGCGGCGAGCCTGAGGAAGCCCCACTACAGTTATCTGTGATTTATTATGTGGATCAAACTGCAGACAGCCACAACCACACTCTGTCACCAGCCAAGAAATACTCACTCTCTTCAACCAGCCTATTGTTCAATCCACTTTGAAGGACTAAAATTAGAGAGAGTTAGTTTACGTTTGCAGAGACATTCAAAAGTAGTTGTAGTTTGGCCCATGTCGACGCAGTCTGCGGTGCAAAATGGGAAAATACATTGGTTATGGTTATATGGTAGTTAGGGCTGTTGAGATGGTTGAAAATCGCAAAGGTTGCAATTATATAGACAGTAGAATGTCCTCTGCAAAGAACAAAATATCCTGTCTTTTTATAGAAAAGTCTTGTACCTGTAGTTTAGAGCTTTACTTACTATGCTATGTTTTAAACTTCACAAATTGAATTGCAATCACAATTATTCCCAAAATCTGCCCTAATCAATTGCGAAATTAGCACAAAAACATATTTATTTGTGATTATTTTTTATTTTATTTTTTTTTGCTTTTTATCAAATGTAGAAAATCGTTGTGTTACAGAGCTACAAAATATAAATATTCTTGATGGTTTTAAACTAAGACTCATGCATTTCATCTCCTACAATTATTTGTTACAGGCCTTTGAGTTTGTAACTATGTAAACTATCTGCAATAACAACAACATGATAAGATGTGTTGAAATCAGCTCATCTCTTTGAGGGGGCCAGTGTTAGAGTGTAAACAATGCTGTTGTTTATTCCTGTGAAACAAAGTGTCTGTGTGTCCCCAGCCTCCGGTGCGTGAAGGCCCAGTGACCCGCAGTGCCAGCAGAGCCGCCTCTCTTCACTCTCTGTCGGACGCCTCCTCAGACTCATTCAACCATTCACCAGGTGAGGAACACTGTCTCTCCTGAATCTGGACTTGTGTTGACTGCTGTGTGTGTGGACACAGTGTAAAACTCTCTCTGGTCTGGCATTTGTGAAAGTGGGGATCTGTGTTCTGACCCTCAAGGCTCTATAGTCACATTATATGAGAGACGCTGATATGATTTTATCAGTTTTTAATGAAGCTTAATAGAAAGCTTGATTTATCACTAGACCTGTTAAAATAATAAAACTTTGAAGTGCAATTGCTGAAGAAAACATAAAATATTAATCAAACATTGAAACTAATTGCTATTTTAATACAAATCAATGTCACAGTATTATTAATAAACATCTCCTGTAATAAATAAATTGCAGGAGTTATTTATTCAACCCTCAAATCCTATTGTATTAAAAAAAAAAAAAAGTCCCTGTAATAAATGCTGACCCTCAAAAATGATGGTTCCGTCTTTTATGTTTAGAAGACAATATTGTAATTATTGTGACAGGCCTATTTAACCGATGACTGAATCACCAACTCAAGCAATTCAAAATGAAGGGGTAAGAAAAGGGTAAGATAGTTTCTCTACTTCAAAATATCTGTACAGAAAAGACTCTCTGAAAGGTTTGTACATCTTAACTCTCCTCTAAAGTGGATCTATTTCATGTAAAGAAACATTTGCCATAATTTCCAGACTATATTTTTTGTCACAGTTTAAACTCTGCGGCTAATAAAACGATGCGGCTAATATATGGACGGATTATTTGTTTGGCACTTTGTCCATTCATATTTACGGTCTATGGTTTGGCAACACAGCGGAAACGCTCAGCCTGAGAGCAGAAAGCACTGCTATCTGTGCGGTTAACACATGGATCTAGGGTTAACATGAAGTTGCAATGTCAGCTAGTGATATTGTCAGCACACTCAAACAGTTTATGTGATAAAATAAGTTATGATGCAAAATTATCATTAGTGAGTGTGATACGTCTTACCCGTATGCGTTAAATTTAGGTGGGTGCGTAAATGATGAGAAGAAACATCTCAAACTTTAGTAGTTGGACATCCACACATACCTGATTGATACAACTAAACTAGACCCCGAGAGAGCCTGAAATCTGCTGAACTCCTACTAGACACTGACATGATACAGACAGGACAGAGGGTCTTTATGCAGGAGTCATGCACCGTAGAGCTTGGAGAGAGACTTGGGTGATGCGCAGAGGAAGATGCTCGTTTGATTGTGTTTTGAAGTTACTTTGCACTTCATGCACTTCATTTTCCTTATGGAAAATACACGAAGAAATGCAGATGATGCCGCTTTTAAGTTAAATGCAATTCATGTGACTGTGGAAGAAGGAAATAGATTTGCTGCACGTGAGCTCCGCATCAGTGAGTTGATGGTGAGACATTGCCGACGGCAGCGTGACGAACTGACTCAATGCAAAAAGAGAGGCGATAAAAGCAGATGGCCTTGAAAACGTTCTTGAAGACATGGACACCTGCAGCTTATATTCAGCTTATATATGCATCTTATATATGTACAGTTTTAAAATATAGTTAAAATTTATTTGATGTGGCTTATATTCAGGTTTGCTTAATAGTCCGGAAATTACCGTATCTATCTAATTGGAAGCCAACTACACAGTTTCATAAGGTAAATATCATATTGCTGAATCTAAACATGAATACAGTAATGTGTGGTCAAGTAAACAAAATCCACTCGACCTCGATTAGTGCTGAGCTGAATAGTGGAGGCTGTAAAATGCATTTGTTTTACAGAAAAAAACATCTCATTCTCCTCACATGTTTCACAGTGCCTCTTTGAACACACGGGCCTGTGTCTTTAAACCTGTGAAGGCCAGAGCAGTGATTCATCTGTACTCTGAAAAGTATTCTTCACTAGTTACAAACTCCTATTTATAAAAACACAAGAGATCCTGTGTGATAGTGACGCATATGTGAGTTTATACTTACTTACACTTAGATTTAGAAAAACTTTATTGATCAACAAGGAAAATTACTTGGACTTTTTATGTCTTTCTGAAGTACTGCTAGGCTTGTCACGATATAAAATTTTGAAGCAAGATCTACTGTGATAATACTATTACTACTTTATGGCACTGAAACAATAAAAAATAAAGCAGGATAATCCTAGTAAACCGGTTTTAAATAGACAGTATCATCAAAAGACAAGATGCAACAAATGAATTGCAGAATGAAGAAAGAATTAGTCATAGAAGATACTTATTCAACCCTCTACACATCAAATCTCTCCTCTTTTACACAGAAATTGTACACAACAAATACTGAGCTCCAAAATATATTGTTCCAGCTATCATATATTAAATCGATAGAGTAATAATTGTGACAAGCTTAAATGGTGCAATACACTGATAGCTCATTTGTTTTTTGTGTTCCTTCACTTTGACCTCTTTCAGAGTCTGTGGACAGTAAGATGAACTTCAGTAACCTGCTGATGATGTGTCAGGATGGGGCCAGCAGTCCAGACTCCAGTGAGGACGACTCAAAGCTCTCAATGCTGCCCCATCTGGCCGACCTGGTGTCCTACAGCATCCAGAAAGTCATTGGATTCGCCAAGATGATACCAGGATTCAGGTATTTACTGTGGAGTTCATTAAACAATTTACTCATGTTATTAGTCAGGGCTGGTCTGGATATGGATTCTTTCAGCCATATTGATAATATTTTTAATTTATAGCAAGGCCCATGTCCATGATAAGTTGTAGCAATGTTAAAGGTATATGGAAGATAATTTGTTTCATCAGATTTTCTATTTTAAATGTCGTTTAATGTGTCCCTTTGAATGTTTGAATTATTTTTTTATTAATTAATAATTATGTAATTATTTTTATGCTGAATTTTAGTTCCTGAGATTTTAAGTGTACATTCATTAAGTGTTTGAATTTTGACTGTTGAATATGAGGGCTTAAATATATTTGTGCTAAATATTTAAAATGTGATTTTTTTTTTTATTTTGAATTTTAGAGTGTAAAATTTGCAATGAAAAAAATTAACAGAAAAGATCCAAGATGCCAAGGTCGAAGCAATCAATTCAAAGTGATTTGATCTAACTTAGTAACAAGTAGGAAATGGTGCAGTGAACCAGTCTGATTGGTCAGAATTAGCCTCATCAAAACCTCATCTCTTTTATTTCTTAAGTGTAAACTCGCCCACAGATGAGAAAGTCAATAGGAAATAGCTCTGTCCTCCTCACTCACTTATGATTGATTGCTTCTGCCTTGGCATCTTTGATCTTTGTTGTGAAATTTTTCACTGCAAATTTTACACTCTGAATTTTAACTTTTGAATTTGAGGGTTTGAACATATCAGTGTTGAATATTTAAAAGGTGATTTTTTTAATTGTGATTTTGAAATTCAAAGTGAGAAATTCAGCGATATTGAAAATTCTAAATCTAATGGAACAAATTATCTTCCATATAAAGGTAGGTAAAAATGTACAAATATCACCCATAGAGATATCTTTCCCTACTAACAATGTAGTATCATCATCATCATACACATATTTGGCCAAAATGTCTGACGCTGAATCAGAGCAGTTACAGCTTTGACTCATCATTACAGACAGTAATCAGTATTAATTATATTTATCTTAGATACAGTATTATAGTTTATCATAGAACATACTCAGCTAGAATAAGTTAAGTAATCTTTCCTGTGTTTTTTAGACATTGGGAAACCTTGATTAAATGTGTCAATTTTTTTCTGTTTCTTTCCGCTCTTTCCACCCAGTATTGATTTTAATCTCACAAACTCCACAACCACACTGGCCTTTCAGGGAGAAATCATTGATCTCAGATCTCCTGCCACAAGTTGGTTGCCTCTGGCTGTTGTCTTATTTTTGTGTGGCTAGTGACTACAATAAAGGTCATTCATGAACGCATTTCAGCTGATTAGCACAGGGCCAAAAAAGTGAAAGAGTTTAAGCTGACAAAACTACATACTTTAATATTATGGATAAATATGATGGATAAATAAATATGATAAATACGTAAATGTAAATGTCAGGCGTGCTGTGTTTGCTGAACCATAATCAGCTACTCTAATAAAACAAGGTGTCAGATAATATAATTGGTTGAGATGGGATCTGTTCAAACAAACAGGAATGACAGCGTGAGTGACATCCAGACTCATAAACACATGCTGAGCTCAAACCAGACACAATGTAAATGTATGCATGTCCAGACAGCAGCTTAATAAAGTATACGAGCGACGTCTGTGTGAAGGGGACACCTCCCACTGCCTTGTAATAGACCTAATCCCCTCATGCAGTGTCTCACTATTTTTAGTGCCAAGGGTTCAAATTCGTACATTTCTATTTGGGCTGCACGGCATGAGAAAAAGATGCTATGTTTGCCATGTATTTTTGGTTCAATAAGTTTAGTTAAATGTGCACAACGTAACTTTTCTTGGGAAGTTTATGCCATATGTTAGTCTCCTTGAAGATATACCATACTTAACTGTTTAGGCTGGAATGTTTCACAATAAGGCATTAGACTTATCTATCTCCATGGTGACAAATAGGCCAGGATATAGATCAGTTTGGTGAGAAGGTGTGCTCGCTCTTAGAGATATTTCTGAACAATAAAATCCCCTCTGATGAAACAAAGGCTGAATAGACATTTAATGCCATACTGTGGAACATACCAAGCAAAGTAACATCTTTCTAAAGAAAAAAATGTGACATGTCTTCCACCAGAAGAGTTACACAGTCCATCTTTAAATTATAACAGAATATGCAGATAGTCCAAAGAGGTTCATTTGGTCTCGCCATAATTTATGTTATTAGGTTCTTTTTTTTTTAGACCAAGAGTTTGTTTTTCATCCCTGACAGTTTCGATTGCTCACTTGCGGTCTTCCTCAGAGTCACGTGATGATGTGGTGGCGTGTCCTCTCAGCTGATTTAAACAGGTTTTGGTGCTGTCTTGATACCGGTGAAGGCAGAATGACAGCGCCAACTGCAGTCCCACTTCCTCAGGGCAGTATCCCAGGTGTGTGAGAGTAAAAATGCCCCCTTTCCTGGTTTATAAACCCAAAACGTGTATAAATGAGCTGACCGGCAGACACGTCACAGCAACATCACGTGACCACTCTGAGGAAGACCACGAGTGAGCAGTCAAAACTGTCAGGTATAAAACCCAAGTCTGATGTTGGTCTTAATAATAGGAAACTAGGAATAAAATGTCTTTTTGTCCATTCTAGTTTCCAAAAACGGCAAACTACAGTAAAATTTTGTGTTGTTGTGATATGTATTTATGTTCTTGCCGTTTCAATTATGGTGTCAGCCAATACTGCAATATATTTTTGTGATAAATTGTGCAACCTTAATTTCAATTTCAAGAGGAAAAAAACATAATTTGACTGCTGTTATTAAAACTGCCAGACGAGCAAAATCACTTTCCCATTCAAAAACTAATAATGACACACTTTTCATCAAGAAAAGACTTGCACTTAAAAAAAGAAGAGAAAAAAAGTTAACCATATTGTGCGAGACAGACGGAAACATTAATTATAAGAGCAGATAATTGTGGTGTGGTTTCTGTTCTGTTTTTTCTTGGCTGAGGTTGGATTGTGGCTTTGAACCACTGGAGGCATTTTGAGTGTAATTGAGATCTGACAATTTGTCTTCACTCTAATGCTACAAATATCACAATATTATGGTTACATTATTGTTTTATTGCAATCATTCTTTAATATGACATATATGTGAGTGTTTCTTTGAATTGAACTCAAATACTAAAAAATTAAAAATGTAAACACATGAAAGCACCCTTATTATGTTATTTTCGGATCTACGTTATAATGTTGTTTCCTCATCAAACACAGACCCAGAGTTGTGTTTTGTTTCATTCACACATGTTTAACGCACAAACGTCTCTCAAACAGAAAACACTGTTCCACCTTGTGATGTCATGTGGTAATACAGGAACTGCTCCACTATGTTTTTTTCTACTGAAGTAAAAGTAAAGTAAACTGTTAACTTGAAAACTACCACAACATGACATTCACAAGTTGGAACAGAGCATTTTGAGTTTTGGAAATATTGACAGACAAATAACAAAGAAATACTTAAACATGTGTGAATGAAACAAAACAAAACACAACTCAACACAGGTATATTTTTGTTGAGTAAAAAACATTTTAACGTGGCTTAAAACTCACAAAGAGTCTTTTTTGTGTAATATAGGACCTTTCAAAATGTTCTTGCTCAAGTACAAAACAAAATTCTAGTACATATGGGTTGATGAGTCACCAGCACACATGTACTTTGTGGTTTTGTGGTCTTCCTGTTACCATAAACTGAAAACAACTGATGAAAGATAAACATTGTATCTATGAGCTGTGAGTTTCAAGTGACGAGAATTCTTATTTTGACTAGACTCAGGAAAATTCCACCTACTTCTTTCCGACCGGCTCTCTGCACTGTCCTGATTCCTGTACACAAGAATTGGGTTTAATAATGACTCTACAGATGGCGGAGTTTCTAGAAGTGTCTGTTCGTTAACTGTACAAAACTGGCAATTTCCACAGTACGTGCATTGTAAAGTATTTGCATATTGCTGTTTCAATACATCTGTGGGCGGCGGAGTGGCAGTTTTCTCCGTAATGAAAGCACTGAATAGGATTGTAGAAAATGACAAGTGCAAATCAATTTAAACAAGAGGGAATTTATAATGGTGCAAAATAGTTAAAATGTCTCCATTTCTCTCTATTTTACAAGTGCCTCATTTAGTCTCAGTAGTCATTAAAGAAGTGATTGGCCATTCATGTGCAAATCTTCTTCATAAAAAAAGAACTTAATTAAGAAACAGTTTTGGGATGTTTTGCAACCACTGCTCTTTGTTGAAATACCGAGATGTGTCATAGCGTTCAATGGGTCCATATTACTCTATTTTTTATCTGTGTTATAATTAGGGGTGTCAAATTATCGCGTTAATTGTGATTAATTAATTACAGTCATATTTAGCGCGTTATGTTTTTTAATCGCGTTAATCTCATTTTTAATCTCTAACTTTACTGTTTCTGTATGCGAGTTGCTTTATTATAAAACCTGTTTTTATGTGTTGTTGGGACAACAACACACACACAAAAAAAACACATTTATATATTTTTTTATTTCGGTAATTCCACTCCTTGCCGGAAACCCACACAAAACGCGCGCAATAAGAGCGATGTAAACGTCATGTTAACGTTGGCGGCGTCAGTCACACAATGGACGAGGTCGAAGAGCCAGTAGAACAGAGGCAGCAGTGCACAGGTAAAAACACATTTGTGTCTTAGAAATTCTTCTCCCGACGTGAAATATAAAAGAAAATAACAAATATAAAATCGCCTACAACTTAAATGTCACTGGTGAAAACAACCTGCATAGACTCATGATGTCTGCACTACTGTCCTATAGTGACCTGCCACATGAGGGGACACGCACACAAAACACACACACACACACAAATACACACAAATACACACAAACACACACGAACAAACACACACCTTCATCATCGTCATTAACCTGAGAACGCGCGGACCACGTTTCCTTCCGTAGTTACTGCGCGGACACTGCTGTCCTCCCGTACACCTCGTACGTTTTCTCGCGTACGCTGCGTAAACCGCGCTTCCTCCTGTGCGCCTCTAAACCAGAACTAACACCAAGCCTAAAACCTTGACTAACCCAGTCCAGGACTAAACCAGGACTAAACCAGGACTAAACCAGGACTAAACCAGGACTAAACCAGGACTAAAACCAGGACTAAAACCAGTGATCTCATATATAAAGCATTTCTCTATCAATAATATTTTTAATATGGTTAAGGAAAGACTGGACTTTTTATTGTCTTTAAGTAGACAAAAGTTATTATGTTCAGATTTCCTCGTCTTTGCAACTTTACAGCAAACAGTTTCTTATTCATGGAGACTTGTTCTAAACAGGCAATTTGAAGAGATTTGTTAAACAATAAATGACTTTATAAAGTCACTTTTTTTAATCTATATCACTCTTTTGATCTGCCACAATAATGTAATAATGAATTTAAATGAAAATACCTCAAATTGAAGGCTTTTCTCAGCAATTTTTAGGTGGGATTAAAATGAGATTAATTAGATTAATTAATTACAGATCATAATTAATTAATCTCTCAATTTTTTTAATCGCACGACAGCACTAGTTATAATGTTGTTTCCCTATCCAAATTATACCTGGAATTGTGTTTTGTTTCATACACAGCTCCATACACCTTCACTAGAATAATTTTGATAATTTCAGCCCTGGAATCCACCATCTCTATTGAACGGAAGGTAAAAGGTAGCTCTTAAATTGAAAACTACCTCTGAAAAATACTTTGGAGATGTAGATGGACTAACAAAAGAGTTACTCAAACATCTGTGAATGAAACAAAACACAACTCCAGGTCTGTTTTTGATGAGATAACAACATTATAACATGGTTTAAAGCTCTACAAGAGTATTTTGCGTAATATAGTACTGATAAATGTTTCTAAGTGTCTATTTTTCCAACTCAATCCTAAATCAAACTAATTGCAAACACTGGATAATATATTTTACATAATACCATGGGTCACCATCAAAGCACGTTAGAACTGCAGAGCCATCTAAAACAATTATAAGTCATTAAGTCGAGTAAGCTTTTTGTAAATGGCAATGGCTCCATTTTAGCAATTTACTGATAATTCCACTGATAATTTGGTGCACTTCCAAATGGTGTTGTCAGTTTCGTGATTACTGAGTTTTACACGATATATATACTGCAGATTTTACTCACAAGTGAATAATGTTTGCAGTGGTGGAAGCAAAGTACTGTACTTTAGTAAAATTTGTAGGTATCTTTACTTTGCTTAAGTACATTTTACATCTGTATTTTCTACTCCAGTACATGTTTAACTGGACTGAAAAGTAAAAAGTACTTGCCCAAAGGTTTTGAGTTCAAATATTGGCTTTGGGCAAAAAAAAAATAAAATACACAAAATTAATTATTCATTGCATTCATTCATACAAAAATAAGAAATTGATCTGTGTTGCAGACTAAAATCTGTATATATTTTTTTATCAATATCACTACATTTAATGCAATGAACAACACTATCAAAATCTGTGTGAAATACTTTTTACTCTTATATAGTGCATATTTTACACGAGTACTTAAATCCTTTTACTTAAGCAGATTTTTTCATGTAATACGTTTCTTTTATTTGAATAATTGTTTGCCTCTGTATATGCACTTTTACTTAAGTAAACTGAGTACTTCATCCCTCACAGTGTGTTTGTAAATGTACATTTGTTGTGTTGCAGAGATCTGACCCCCGAGGACCAGATCGCTCTGTTGAAGTCCAGTGCCATAGAGATCATCATGCTGCGCTCCAACCAGTCCTTCAGCCTGGAGGACATGTCCTGGAGCTGTGGAGGACCGGACTTCAAATACTGCATCAATGACGTCACTAAAGGTACCAGCTCACTGTTATATGCCATGTTTAACAAAAACTATTAAAAGGACAGTCTGAAATTTTGGGCATAGGACCTCATTTCCTATTGAGCCAGAGTGTTGCAGACGTGTGGAGACACTTTTTTAAAATATTCCATCCAGTCCTTGTATTTGCAGAGGTCGCTGGTGCTAGGCTAGTGCATGTCAATGGCCATAGTTATACTGCCACTAAAAACAGTCTTACTCACTCCACAAAACACCCAAAGCAAATCTATTATTACCAAACTATCAATGTTAATGTCTGTGTTGATAGAATAATTTTAGAAGTAAAACCAACCTTGCATTTGAAGGTTTTCTGTCTGAGTAGCAACAGCTAGTTGTACTTCCTGATAGAAAGCTTGGCAGTGGCGAACTGATATCACATAGCACCTGTCTTACCGGCAAAGTAAAATTCCGCCGCTGCTGAGAAAATAGTCCCTGCGATGATTCATGCGATGCAAGGTTAGTTTAATTTCAAACATTATTCCATCGACACAAACATTCACATCGGCAGTCTGGTGTAATAATAGACCTGCTTCAGGTGTTTTGTGGAGTGGGTAAGACTGTTTTTAGTGGCAGTATAACTATGGCCATTAACATGCACTAGCCTAGCACCATGACCTCTGCAAATACAAGGACTGGATGGAATATTTTAAAAAAGTGTCTCCACACGTCTCCAACACTCTGACTCACTAAGAAATGAGATGTTGAAAATTCTGGACTCCTCCTTTTTAAAAGTATTACCAACTATAAAGTTGAGTGCTTGATAGTGTAGTGGTCTAGGCTCAAGTCCTTGCTCCAACACTTTTATGAATGGCACTCCCCACTCTTCGTCTGTTTTGTCCAGTTTGAGTTACAGGCTCTACATAGAGAAAAATCAGTCTTTAGCTAAAGCTATAGCTAAAATACACAAATAATATATTATAATGTTATACACTTCTGTGCTAATAGTTTTTATATTTGTTTGATTTATTCATGAGACACAAGATTGCGTTTTCGAGAACAGATTTTGACATAATTTATAGTTTTAAAAAGCGGTTTAGTTCACAATTCTATCCTCATAATGTTTTGATAGATATTATTTAATGTTTTTGCCATCAGTGTTGCATTACTTTGTAAAACTACAGCTTCTCAAGAGGTGTAACCCAGCAAAATAAATCAACTTTGTGTCTAAAGTAAATGTAAACACATGTAAAAAACAACTCTTATAAGATCATTATCCAGTCTTGTGACAGTTCGTGTTTTGTTTTTGCGTCTTGTCTGACCCCTTTTCATTATTACTAAATTATGCGCAAATGTAATTAAACTATGCTCGTATTTCATGTATATTTCACTCATTACAGCAAGTTGAAGTAGTTGCCCCGTTGACTTACTGATCTTCAAAGACACATCATGTTCAATGGGATACAAACCCTCCGACACAGTATTGATTATCTATAGCTTCTCCTGCTCGTTTTTTTCTCATCAATTCCCCAGCACTCCCACTGTTCACATTAAGAACACAGATGAAGTCCTTCACTCACTCCATACACAGGCTCTCAAGGACAGAGAAGCGTCCTTGTTGCTGCTGACGACACATGCACCTTTATATAACGTTCTTCGGAGGATCACCCACACACTACGTTCCTCTGCAAATTACTGTGAAGATGGCATTTTCATAGAAGCAATAAAGAGACCACTAAGCACACAAGGTTTATTTTTTCACACATTGAGGGCTGAGAGCAAAACAGGCCATGCTTTTCACTCCAAAATGTGTTTTTGTGAGTAAGGCTAAGCAGTTTTTTTTTTTTTTTTTACAAGGATCCACTACCTTCATGGAAAACTAGGAAGGGGTATTTTTTATAAAGAAATGTTAAATAAAATTTGAAAGAAATGTTTTTAATCTACAATGTCATATCATATAATACATCTGTCCCTTTGAGGAGCGGTGGCATTTATGAGAAAACACGTTTGAGAACTGAACTGCTAAAATGCAAAACAAGAAGTAGATAGATCAGATTAGAGACAGATAGATTTTTAAATATGTTATCACCATCTTTGTCAGTACTTTATGTTAGAAATAACGCTGTACTCCATGTATCTTCGTGCACCATATACCTTTTTTGTAATTCTGATTTGATAACCTGAAGAAGCAGCTTGGATGATTAAGAAAATAAAACTAGACGACAGCAGAGCAGCATTCTTGACAATGAGCGATTAAAGATTGCTCAAACATTCACGAATCACTCCAAATAAAACTTCGAGAGGGTAAATGAGAACGGGAAACAAATATAACATTGTTAAAAGCTCTGAAAAGTAAATTTTGCATAGTAGGTCTGTTTCAAGAATGCACAAAATCTGGAAATGGCTTTTATAAGACATCATCAGTTTATATTTCTCCTCATAACGCTGAATGAACTCCAAAACAGTGTAAGAGTGTGTTTGCATTCTGGTGCAGCCTCAGAAGTTCAGATTGCCCATGTCCAGTGTATGTTCTGACTGTGTCTGTGCTGTGTGCAGCGGGTCACACTCTGGAGCTGCTGGAGCCTCTGGTGAAGTTCCAGGTGGGTCTGAAGAAGCTGAACCTTCACGAGGAGGAGCACGTGCTGCTGATGGCCATCTGCCTGCTCTCCCCAGGTACTTGTCCTCTCTCTCTGTGTCTGTGCTCTACCACCAGGACAAACCATTACAGCCATGTCTGATGTCGTGACCCACTTTCATTAAACACCAGAGTGGGCCTGGTGCAGCAGAGTAGGCCTGATTCTAAATATATGCTTTAAAACAACACAGCTGGAGTGTTCTTTTTTGTTATTTTTTACTAGCCATGTGCAGCTGTATAGTACAGGGCCATATATACATGTTTTAACACGTTTACATTAACTGTAAGTGTGGACTGTGACTCAGTGGTCAGCGGCATTTGTCCACTCGCAGGTTCGATTCCTTACCAGTTTCTCTTGTTGTGTCCTCAGGCAAGACACATCCCCCACCTTGCCTTGTATGAATTTGCTTGGTGATGGTCGGTGGGGCCCTTGGCCTGTCACTCTACATCAGGGCTGCTGTGGCTACATAAGTAGCTTACATAAGTGTGGGTTGAATGAATAATGACTACAGTGTAGCTCTTTGAGAAGCTTGGACTAGCCTTAAAGCGAATTTCAAGTGCAAGGCATCATTATTATTATCATTATCCCAATGAGTTAATAATAGACATAGTATATAATTATAGAAGCGCAAGCACTGTTAAAAGCTCTTTTCTTTTGGGCTTCTTAGGAGCAGACGGGAATCACTTGTTAAATTGGTGTAGAATTTTAAACATTTTTTCCTCTTGTGTCAGACCGTCCCGGAGTTCAGGACCACGCCCTTGTGGAGCAGCTGCAGGACAGGCTGTCTGATGTTCTGCAGGCCTACATAAGAGTCAACCACCCTGGAGGACGCCTGCTCTATGCCAAGATGATCCAGAAGCTCGCTGACCTGCGCAGCCTGAACGAGGAGCACTCCAAGCAGTACCGCTCGCTGTCCTTCCAGCCGGAGCACAGCATGCAGCTCACCCCCCTGGTCCTGGAGGTGTTCGGGAGCGAAGTGTCCTAGCTCAGGCCCCTCCCATTCACACACCCCAACAGGACTTTACAGGACGGATAACTCAACACTCAACAGCCTTCTCCACCACCAAAACCGGCAAATGTAGGAGAAATATGGATCACCGTACAGACAGCCACCCCTTATAACCTCCTCCTCTGAACTCACCGCTGGAATTCGCTCGGATACACTGCAAAAATACTGCAGTTATTATTCTTATACCAACATTAACCTTGTGGCTAGCATCAACTCCCCTGATTTCTCCCCAAAGATTGTCTTGCCCCACTTACCCTGGACATATGTGTTCCTTTGTTTTGTGTCCACCTGTCTTTCCATCCTCATTGCATCCCAGTGATAGAGAGGATTGGCTAAGCATATCTTAAAACAACTAGTAAGCTAGAGCTTAATGCTAGCTGCATTGCTAAAATTAGCCTCCTACACCTACTATATATCATTAATCATTGATATTTTATTGAGTATTTGAAAGGCCAGGGCTTATACATACTTGGGTGAGATTGATATTTTGTTTGTTTTTGAGAAAATCAGATGGCCAGATAAGAAAGTGTAAAGAAGAGCATCTCAGTGAAGAGAATTACCAGAAATGAGTAGAGGAGGTGGGACATTACTACAGGTGGAGTTCCCTTTTTCAATTCAAAAGGGAGTCTTCATGAACTAGAATGTATGTATAATGCTATATATAACAATAAGCTGATATATCTTTATAAAACTATATTTAAGAGAATGAATCATGGTGGCTTCTATTGAAGCACAGTAATGAGTGTTGTTTGACATAGAGGATCTGAAGGCCCCACCTCTATCATGTGTTGAAGACAAATGTGTGCAGAGGAACGGAGTGTGCCAGGAGTCTATTTTTGTGACGTGTGTACAGTGTATGAGAGTATTGATGGACCACAAGGGGGCGCTACCAGGCTCTGAACAGGGGAGCACATGTACTGTCTGCTCTTTGGACCTGTGAAGTCTGATGACTGACTTATAACGCCATGTTTTCGGAATAATCCAAAATATTTGTCGGAATAGTTTAGACTGCTGCTAAGACCGTCAGTGCAGTTACACACATGTGGAGGAAATGGACCCACTGCCTGAGTCAGACTTCAATGTAAATGTCTTTTGAGTTTGGATTGGCAGTAGATTCACTTTCTTATCTTTGGACTAGGACAGCTTTAAATAAATTCATTCTGTTAGTTACAAAAATATATATCTTTTCAAACCACTGCTTTAAAGAGCAAGCTAGTGTAGCACTGTCTGTAATCTTTGCCATATCTTGATTATGTAGCCCTGTAACCACATGATCACATAGGGAATTGTACTACACTAGCTTTAGGCTAAAAGTATGCAGCATAGTCAAATCCAGCTGTCCCATCGTCTGAAATAGGCATGCATGTAACTGTACTGAGTGGAGCTAGATAGTTGGAGCCAAGCCAACTAGCTGCTGTTGCCTCAGGGAATAGTTTGTCTGGTAATCGTGTGTATTAGTGTTTACGTGTGTGTGGCGTAAGCTTACAATCAAATCTGACAGAGATTGTTTTCAAACCTCTACATCACTGTGATATAATCCTAAAACATAACAGTACAACTAAGCTAAAGGGACTTTATATAAACTACCCATTCTCCATTCCTGTTTCATTTTTTTATTCAAATTGTAATCTCCAAAACTGACACCTTAACTCACTCAAGTATTTAATTAGCCTTAAAAACATGATATAGAGACAGTAGCAATAGCATATAACATGTATCGTATCTAAGTAAGTCTTTGAAGCGGGGCAATGGTATGGGAGTTTTTTCATTCACAAATGGTCACGTCTGTTGTCTGTACACCAGCCACATAAGCGAGGTTTTGGATGTTGTTGGGACATCACTACATATCATTTCTCACTCTCTGGACACAGTGCATGCTCACCCTTCATACAGGCCTGGAGCCCCCCCTTGTGGACAAACTCTGTAAATACCACTTTGCTATAGGTTTGTACATAGTTAGAGATTAATGTAGGCTAAAATACTAAGATTTCAGTTGATGACATGCTCTGGACGTACAGCACTATATGCAACTAGGAGATGCCTTTTCTGTTTAACTCAGACTGAATGGACTGAAGGGGTGCGCCCTGGTCAGGGTGACTTTGTTTTGACATGAATAGAAGATGTGAATGCACTTGAGCTGGATCTTAGTGAGCTTTTTTTTTTTATTGGATTCATTCGGGGCTGATGCTGTTAGCAATTTGACTTTAAAACATATAAACTTACCAGGCTGGGGAACTGGTCATGTCCTTGGAAACAAAGAAAGGACAATATTGGTAATTAATAAATTGTATCAGTAAATAATTAAAATACTTAATATAATATTGTTTTTCAACGTTTAGCACTTATATGATACATTTCTAAATGTATGATACTACTTTTTTGGCAAGGCCAGATTACTCAAAGTTTTGGCCTAATGTTGTTGATGTGTGGAAAAATACAGTAAATCAGAGCATTTGGAAAGTTGTGGGAAGAAAAAGCACCTGGTACAGGACGAAGGAAGGGCTTCACAATTAAAATGATGCCAAGATGGTATGGGTGTAGATCTGTAAACTTTAACATAATATATTTATAAGCTACAAGAGAAGGTCCTTTAAAGTCACTGGTCACTTCTCTCACATGACATTCCCATTGGTGGTTAAGCATTCCGTCTGCCTCAAGTGTGTCCCTATTGGCCGGATCACGTGACAAGGGCCGCCCTTCTGTCCATTCCCAGCTTATGGATGTACGGCTTTCTTCTTTTTCATGTCAATCAATAAGCTCTGGACAATTATATAGAAAATCCATATTTTTCAATTGTGTTTTTTCCCACAAGATTGTTCTGTTATTAGAGTTTGCTGTCTTACTATGCTTGCGCTGAGACGTTGTTTTCTAATGAAGCAGAGAAGAGCAGTGGACCTTGGAGACTTTGTTCCAGCTTCACTCGGATAGTTTCACTAGATTCTTCTGAGACTGATATGGGACACTTTGGAGGAGAGTCTTTGGACGGTCCCCAGCTGTGTAACTATGAAGCTATGTCAGACACAATCAAACAAACTAACACTGCCTATATTGACTCGTATAGCAACAGCATGTGCGTGCCTATTTGACCATTGACCATCTAACCACCTCTTTGTTCTGCAATAGCAATGTACAGCAGGATTCATAGCTTTAACTTCAACAGCTCTGCTTTTCTGGAATCGACCGTGGCACACCAAGGGCTGATGGGGTCGGATAGGACTTCAGACTCTGGAAACTGAAGTAGTCAAAAGCAGGAATGGATTTTCAGAAACAAACTTTGGACTCCAGAAAGCAATGTCTGTTCTGTAAGTCTGTACAGAGTTTTTTGTTTTTCTTTTCAAAAAGGACATGTTGCCACAGGCGGATGTAGAGTGCAGAGACTGACAAAAATATCGCCTCCTAAAACCCAAAGTGTACCATTGTCACGATCATACATCGCAGCTCCTCTGGTTCTGTTTTATCGGAACATTTTTAGATTAGCAAGTGGACTTTCAAACAGCATCTGCAATTTCTGTTTGAACAAATGGAAGCAGGATGGAGACGGGGAAACAGAATGGTGTTTTAAGGGTTTGTATTTTGCATCATTTGTGAAAGAGAAGTATGTATGAGACACGTTGCCAGCACTAGATAAAGCTGGCAGCATTTGGCTTCAAAAACACAATTTAAAATAACCCTTAAAACCAAAAGACCCAATTATATTGCACTTTTCCAATGATGTATTTTAGAAGCATCAACATAGATGGACTCTATGTTTTTGCTTATTGTGAGACTAGTTATAATTTGTATCAAATTACAAAAGGATTCTTAGACTTTCTTGAAGAGAGTTTCAGAAATGTAACCATGATGATACATGGTACATTAATGCTAATGTGGCAAAAGTATTATCTGATACTATATATTCTTTGTATTTACTAGTATTACCTTGTATTTATGCACTACAAAATATAGATTTTTATTCGATATTGTCAGCCTAGAAAATATGTGTGAATTTCAGACATAATTTTAAGGGCTGAAAGTGGTTCCGATCACAAACTTTATTCAGTACAAATGCTACCATACAAAATACACATCATTTTTTATATAATACTAAACTAATTAACGGTGCAGTATGTAACTTTTTTTGGTGCGGGGTCCACTACCTTCTTGTCTCTGTTGCATTGATTGTTATTGCTTTGCCTAAAATGTTTCACTGTATGGCGACAAACTTATTTTACATTTATTTCTACATATTTACAGTTCAAAAATATAAATATCTTGGAGTAAATAATGCTATCTTACTCTCCACAGACCTTACTTGTAACTTGGTGCAGTTGCCTTTCTTGCCTCTATGAAGTTAGAAGAGTTTAATGCTATGTTGTGGAACATGCTGGGCAAAGCATTAACATCTCCACGGAGATGAGCAGGTGGCGAACACTCCTTTGGGAAAGTTACGCAGTGCACCTTTTAAACCATGGTGATGAAAAAATAGTACTGCACAATCTGAAACCCCTTGCTCTTTCCAAACAAGGCTAGGTGAACCAACCACAAAGACATAACCAAAAGTACGCACTTACTTCTCCTTTACAATAAGAATTTCTACAGTATTATCAACGTCGTGATGATTTAAACCCTTAAAACTCACTTTCAGTTTCCCTAACTCCGCCCTGCCATCGACCCAGGTCAGCAGCTCCACCTCAGTAGCCTTATTACAAAAACAGCTGGAATCAAATACCTCATTTACAGGATGTACAATAGCCTTCAAGGGAACCAAACATAACAAGCCAATACACAGACACTCATACATACTGACGAAACCTTTGCAGTGTTGATTTTAGCTCAAACTACATTTCAGTTTCCATCAGAGCAGTCGGTGTAAGGAGTGGATCCCAATGTTTTTTGTTTTTTTTATGTTAACTTCTTTACTCACTAGCTCCTCTCTCTGCCTCATTTCTTAAACTCTATTCAACTCAGCGCTGCAGTTACCCCAACATACTACCTCTCCCTCAGCACATACTCAGTCAGTATAAACATATATATTTTTGTTGCAGCTTGATTGTTAAATAGGATACAGTTGGTTATATATTTTAACACTATTTTTTGTCGTTTATGTACAGTTTTAACTCTCTGGTTCTTTCTTCAGATGCTGGACAATTTTACCTCAACTCTGGGTTAGCATTACAATTAGCCATCGCTAGGGTTGTCTTTACGGAAGTGTGGACAAGACATGGTTAAAGAAAAGAAGACATTTGCAGTTTGGAGTACCGTGTTTGCATTTTGACGAAGAAATAGCCTGCATATTTCTTGCTGCTATTTTCTATTAGTGTAGCTTACATTTTAGCAGTGTTTCTAGTTAAGTTGAAAAGTTGAAAGTAGAAATTCCAGTGAAAGAATTCTAGATTGATTTTATTTAGGGCTGCATAATATATACAGTATATATATATTTTTTAAATGATATTTCATAACAGTGAGTGCGTATATGTGTACATCAGTATCCCAGTTATCAGGCAAATTCTGGTTATGGCAGTATTCAGGATACTCAAAAAACCCGATCATAACTGGGATACTGATGTTTTGCGTTCAGATAATACTATTGTGATATTTTATGTACTTTTTAAAACTATAAGCTTGGTTAGCGTGACCAGTTTTTCAAAATCAAAAACTGGGACAATCTCAGTTTGGGGTGGTTGGTAATAATAAAATTGTTAAAAGAGTGCGTGATTAAGAAAAATTGTTATGTACTCAGTCCATTTGGGAATTTTCAAGCTCCTTTTTTATGTATTTTGGCTGAAAAAATGACAATGAATTCCCTTCTTTACTCTAGCAGGGATCAAATTGGTCAGAAAATAGGGACACATGGGACTGGGACTGGTTTTGGATAAATCTGCTGGGACAAAAGTTTGACTGTCAAAGATAAATAGAGAAGTCTGGTCACCCTAAGCTTGGTTAAATTAAAACAAAAATGTAAACATCTTGATGTACAAAGATATAGAATATACTAGGACCAAAACAAGGCTAAATTTGGAACTACAATAATAAGGAAATCATGAATAAAATGTGATTAATATTTTAAGAAAACTTTAAACTTTGTGTTGCTATAAATGTTCTTGTAATGTCATTTTTTGTCAATTTTGCCATCTATTGTGCAGCCCTTATTTTAAACATATGCCTTAAACATGGTCTTAAACGAGGCTTTTTCAGATGAGTACATTAATCGTCCACAAACTTCAGTCTTCTAAAGATCTATGACCCTCTGTCTGTTCACACTTCGGGGCAAAACTAGACACAAATGTAAGTGACGATTTCTTTTAAAGTGCAACAAAGCCTACGTAAGGATTAGCCACAAACAACACAGTAACTCTTTCACAACTGCCTTTGTGCCATCTCACCTTTCTATCTGACAGGACTCGTAACATTGGGATCCCAGCTTAGATTCTAAACGTACGTGTAATGTTGTTTGTCCAAATCCCACACGCTTCTGCATTCTTCCTCTGTTTCTCTTTGGCAAATATGCTCAATTCTTCAGATATGTATGTGCGCTACAGAAGCAACACAGCGAGCCTTCTGACTTTTCAACTATAATACATCTTCTTAATGTTGTGTGGCTGCCGCGCTTTCAGTGCTTTTCTGTTCTCGACAAAGCAATGGGCTGTGATGCTTAATGCAGATGTAAGTGTGGAGTCAGCAGATTATAAGAGCAGTTGCAGTAGAGATGTCAAAAATTCTACTATCACATACTGCCATTAGTTGTCAAATCTTGCGACGTAAAGCCAGGAGTTTATTCAGCTTTCTGTAGCTTAAGAATCAAAACTAGTTAGGTTGAGAAGCTTTCAAATGTAGGCTAGTCATATGGACACTGTGTTAGAAATCAAAAGCAGGGCAATTTCAGTTGTAAACTCGAGGACCTATATCACTCAGAGCATTATACATCTTAATTAACATTGTCCAGTTCTACCTTTGACACTTCTTCTACCAATGACCACTCCTGGACTATAAGGGATTACTGGACTCAGAATAAAAAATGTAAACATTACTTATTTTTAACCTAGCAAAGTAGTAAAACAAAAGCATATTTTTAAGTATGGCGTATACAGTTATATCTAGCTTGAAGTATGTCAGCTGCTTCAGGTGAAAGTAACATTGCATTATGTAATATTTCTGGAGGAGGGTCCACACCCCGCTTGTCTCCATGGAGATGTCATTGCTTTGCCTGTCATTTATTGCCATTTATTGTATAACCTGTTGCATTTATTCAGTCATAGTTATTTTTTATTGCTGAAACATGCGTTCGGTGAGAATGCACAGATGTAACCCGCAACTTGCCCTGCTTGTCTCCACGGAGACGGATACAAAACAACAGCATCTCCACAGAGCAGATGGAGGACACTCCGTCAGAAAAGTTACATAATTCACCTTTAAAGAGCCCATGTTATGCTATTTTCTGATCGTTAAAATGTTGTTTCCTCATCAAAAACATGCCTGGAGTTGTGTTTTGTTTCAGTCACACGATTAACACACAACTGCTGCGTGACATCATGAGGTGGAACAGAGCTTTTTGACCTTTGGAAATGTAGACAGACAAATAATTCAAAATTACTCAGACATATGTTTTTGATGAGGTGAAAAACATTTTAAAATTACTTAAAGCTCATAAGAGTCTATTGTGTGTACTATAGGACTTTTAACACAGGTACAACATTTTAAAGACTATATTAAACTATATACTGAACTTTTATGTATTTCGTTTTATGCCAGGATTGTTGCATCTCTACTGCAGTGTAATTCTGTTTTGTTTTGCTTATTATCTGTTTCTTTTTTTTTTCTCTGCTACCTCGCTTGCTCATTCACACTCACAACCACACACACACTACAGCTCGTGCACCAGTCCTACGTGCACTCCTCTCTCACCAGCAGTTCTTTGCCAATGATGCATTTGCGTTTTGTCTCTGCTACATCCTAATTTTATGATTTTATTTTTTTTTTGTATTTTATTTAACATTTTTGTGATAATAATCTCTGGTATTAGTAGTAACTCATGCAACCATCCGTCACGTTTGTAAAACTTATGGAAATGCACATATTTTGCTCAGCTCAGTTGTACCTTGGTGTGCCTATAACCAACAGCCTTATTTTGGGACAATATCAGGGGTCACACAGTAGGGGGCGCTCTGTGCTCGTGCTACTGTTGTGAAGAGAGTCATTTGACATTTCAGCTTTTCGCTGTTTGCTCCTCTTCAGATCCATACATTTGTTAGACTCTTCAGCTTTTGTATGGGTGTAGTAGTTTGTGCATGGCAGGTCATGTGCTGTAAATAAGCCTACTAATGTTAATGTAAAGATGTATTACTCAATAGAAATTTAAACATCAGTATATTTTATTTTTCATTTTGACAGTAATTATCCAATGTTTATTTTTTGTAACTATAAAATTCAAATGGATAATGAATATATTTACCAGTAAAACTCGGATATTAGAATAATCAGAAAAATAGATCTTATTTTTGGTGTGTTTACATGCACAAGTTGCCTGGGATCCAGAATGTTTTGATTCCTTTACGAAGATGGGCATGATTGACAGGTGGATTAGCCAGTCAGGGACAAACTTAGTCCAGTAGAAGTATATCACAAGAGGCTGAGAAAAAATTTGGATTTCTGCAGCAATAATGAGCAAAACACTAAATTCTATTAATCTGAGATGAGATTTTACTTGTAAATCCTCAGTGACCAGTGAGCTCCTCTGAGAAAATCGAATTTGATTGGACAATTACATTTGACCGGCCTTGAGACGCAACAGAGGAAGTGGGGACCTGACTGCTATAAATCAGTATAAAAATACAGAGAGATAATTCTGGATCTGCCAGGCAAATACACAAGAGAAATCTGATCATCAAAATTAGCATTTTTTTAGAGAAACTGTTACATAGGCTAATGAATTTTAATCTGTAACATTTTCTTTTTCAGTTTCCTTTGCTGCATTAGTTTTTTTGTGCAGGTGTGACCAGTCAGAAAGAAATCATATTACACGTTAGACATAACTGCTGACACGAAATTTCAGGAAATCAGATAGCGATCAGATATTTTGTGCATGTGAACACAGCCAGTATCAGTAGGCTCATTCTAAAAACTAAAAGTACATTTTTTTTCTAAATCTGTTTTAAGTTGCAGCTGCTGTGGCCTCATGAATCTCAAACTACTGCTCAGAAATATTCAAAAAATGTCAAAAAAAAATATTAAGTTGAGTCCCAAGATAAGACCCCTTCCCTACACCACCATGCAGTACAAAAGCTATTACTCATTATATACCGTTGCCATGGCGTCGCTGTTGATGTAGTAAAGTATTAGCAGCTCCATACAACACCAATAGTATTAAAGCGTACCTTATAAGTTTGTGCGTGCTCAGATCCGCCGCCTGTCTGTCTCTCTGTCTTTAGCTCTTCTGTTGATTCATTGTTTGTTGATTACATTGTACGTATGTAGTAAATTACTAATGTTCTGGGAAATCACAAATAAACAGCTGTACATAATGACGCAAACATACCAAACGCCTCTTGTCCTTATTTAGAATGTGTGCATTGTTAGTACGTTATTATTTGATCAAAGTCTTATTCATTTAAAAATCTAAATATTGGTTTCCATCATTATACTTTTTGACGGATGATCTGCCAAAATAGAAAGACTACACTGGGACGTTTGTTTTTGCTTTTACTGTTAGTCACCAGCAGAGGGCAGTACGATACAACAACACTGTGACAATGAGACTAGCCTTTGAGAGCAGTATTTTAAGCAAATGTCATCTAAAAATAAACAACAATTCCATATTATTAAATTCTATGTAAATAAATCATGTAATTGTTATAGTTCCCTAAGTAGGGCTTGCAAATTTAATTGAGGTTTATTTATATTTTTACATTTACATTGTATTTAATCTGTTGTTGTTGTTGCTTTTTTTGTTTCGTTTAATTTCTAAAAAAAACAACAACAATATCTTAGAAAACTCAGATGATATAGCACAACAAACTACTAAAATAAATATAATTAAACCTGAATCTTTGAAACTATAAAGTCAGGGGTGTCAAACTCAAATTCACACAGGGCAAAATTAAAAACTGGGACTAAGTCGTGGGCCAAACTGAGTATTTATTGAAAAATTTCAACAACATCTGCATGTTTTCTGTTCTTTCGAGAAATGTAATGTTAAACCTTTTCTTATTAAAATAAATGTTTAATAATAGTTTTGCTTCTTTGAATCTAGAACAAGCATAATATAAAATAATAACATTTTAAATAAATAATGTCTCTATAGTCTATCTGTAGCCAGCGGGCCAGCTCTAATACACATGTGATATGATCTCGTGGCCCAAATATAATTGTATCGTGGGCCAAATTTGCTCCCCGGGCCTGAGTTTGACACGTTTGCATTAAATAATTACAGACCTAATTTTCATTGTGCATGAGTCCAGAGCCTCCTCATATACAGCACAAAGGTTTATGCTCTTGCCATTTATTTTTATATACTTTATTCAAATTACTATATCAAATTACTTCAGTCACAACAATAACTTGAGTTATAATATATTTTTGGTTGATTTTGTTAGACATTATTAAATTGCTTTTCTGACTCTTGCAGTATTTTCAAGTAAATATATAGAAATATGATTAAATATTCTTAATAGTAGTCTATTCTGTCATTTTGCAGCACTGCAAAAAAACAAAACACAGTACTGAAACCAAACCATAAAGCAGAATTACCCCAAAATCTATTCTAAATGTGCAATATTTAAAAAGAAAAAAAATATGAGCTGCAATAAATAAACAGCATGCAACTCTTTAGTAGTTCTTTAGTATCTATAATGAGTCATAGAAGTTAATATTTCAACCCTCTACAGCTTAAATCTCAGAACAGAACAGAAAAATAACCAAAGATTTCCAACTAATGCACAAAAAATAATAATACAATGAATTGACCCTCAAAAAGTCTTTATTGTGACAAGCCTGCAGACTCTTGTATAGTAAACAATTGTAACTGTTTTTGTAAGCATGTGACAACAGGCTAGTGGTGCCTAATTAAATGGTTACAACTCGCCCACAAAAGAATGCACTTGTAATAACTTCACCCTGAGTCCTGCACCAACAGTTCGCCATTGTTGGCCTGACCTGCTCCGCTCACTTTAAACCTGATGCCCTTCCTCCTGCACAGATAAGATCACAGCTGTTACGGACCAAGTGGTGGGGCTTAACCTTTACTAACTCAGTTCAAAGTGGAGGGCTTAGGAGTCTGAAAGTGGGATGAGCCTAGAAAAGATTTGTTGTTTTTGTTACTGAAGTGAGAGACGCGAGGGGACATCCGTGACTAAAGAGGAGGAGTGAGTTGTGATTGGAGTCACTGGACCTGCATTAGTTCAATCTACTTCATGTGACCTTCATAAGACATGTATGCGGCGTTTGTGAGGGTAGACTAGGTAAATGGGTGAGATGCTTGGATGAGCAGATAGAGAAAATGTTTGTACACTCCATGAAATTTAGTACAAAAGAGGGCTAGCTACCTGATTTGAGATTCTAATTTACAATAGATTACAAGGCTGTGGAGCAAGTTACAATGCTATCACGATCTCACAGTTAAATGCACACTCAAAATCTTTTCAAAAGCAAAGCAAACATAACCTACATATCTATCATTTCTTTCTGATCATTTCTAATTACTCGCATCACATTTAGCAGTTTACTTGTCACGTAAATAATCTTAAAGGTCCAGAAAGCAGATTTTAATCAGATTTTGGTGCATGTGATCAAGGCCACAGTTTGCATCTTGAATATATATTTTTTTAAACTCACTATACCTATGATCATGACCTTTGGCTATAATCAAAAGGACAAGACTGTGGGTTGAAGTGGGTTGAAATTAGTTTCCTTCACATAGTGGCTGGATGTTCTTTCAGGATGAGGAGCTCAGTCACATGATAGGAGTTCAGAGTAGAGCCACTGCTCCTCCAGGTCGAGGTTGAGGCCATGTGTTCCATGAAAAGATGACACTTATCTATTTTACTTTATTGTAATTCACCTCGGGAGGTGTTCCGGGCATGTCCCACCGGGAGGAGGCCCCGGGGAAGACCCAGGACACGCTGGAAGGACTATGTCTCTCGGCTGGCCTGGGAACGTCTCGGGATTCCCCTGGAGGAGCTGGAGGACGTGTCTGGGATGAGGGAAGTCTGGGAGTCCCTGCTTAGGCTGCTGCCCCCGCGACCCAGCCCCGGATAAGCGGATGAAAATGGATGGATGGATGGATGGATGTAATTCAATAAAGGTAAGATAAAGATAAATTGAATGTCACTGTGAATCATTACGGGCAATGCAATAACATCTCCATAGTAGTTCCCCTGAAAAGTTGCATACTGCACTGTAAATGTATTACAGTAGTCACAATACTTTTTCTTTGCTTCTTTACTTTTTGTACTTTGTAACTTGAAAACAATTTAAGAATATTTTACATCTTGGATTAATACCTAAAAACCTAATAATACTCACAGGGAAGTACATAGCTCCTTTTGGTGTGCAGTGGCTGGGTGTTCTGTTAGGATGAGGAGCTCAGTCACATGAGAGGAATTCAGAGTAGAGCCACTGCTCCTCCAGGTCGAGGTCGAGACCATCTGTTCCCTGGAGTGGTGGTCTTAAAAAAAGAAGAAGAAAAAAAACAGTAGGAGGTCCTGGAGAAGACCCAGGACATGCTGAAGGGACTGAATGTCTCTTGGCTGGCCTGGGAACGCCTCATGAAGCCCCCAGAGGAGCTGGAGGAAGTGTCTGGTCCCGGATAAGCGGAAGAAGATGGATGGATGAATGGATGGGAAATCACTTTACATTTAACATAAGCCAGAAATCGGTCCAGTTCCTGTTCCAATTGATTCAGATTTTGATTTATAGGGTTTTTATTTTTGACATTTTTTTGACATAAGGGCTGTGGACAGGGGACAGTAGATGAAAACAACATGTACAGACCTCTCAAGATCCAAATATAGGGTAACACAGGACAGTTCAAACATGTATGGATCAATAAAAATGTGTTATCTTATTAGGTTATTTTTTTTCAGACCAAGTGTTTGTTTTCATACATGACAGTTTCGAGTGCTCACTAGTGGTCTTGAGCTCTGGGTAATGACCGAAAGGACAAGATCGTGGATACAAGCGCTCGAAATGAGTTTCCTCCGCAGCGTGGCTGGGCGCTCCCTTAGAGATAGGGTGAGGAGCTCAGTCACACCGGAGGAGCTCGGAGTAGAGCCGCTGCCTCCACGTTGAGAGGAGCCAGTTGAGGTGGCTCGGGCATCTGTTTCGGATGCCTCCTGGACACGCTGGAGGGACTATGTCTCTCGACTGGCATGGGAACGTCTCGGGATCCCCCTGGAAGAGCTGGAGGACGTGTGTGTGGAGAGGGAAGTCTGGGAGGCCCTCCTCAGACTGTTGCCTCCGCGACCCGACCTTGGATAAGCGGAAGAAAATGGATGGATGGACTAGCGGTCTTCCTCAGAGTGGTCACGTGATGTTGCAGTGATGTGTCCGGTCAGCTGATTTATACAAAATAGAACCAGAGCATGAATTTAATGTCACATATGAACCCTGCAATAAAACACACATCGGGGAAACAGGGAGCCCATTCAGTCCACGAAAAAAGGAACATAGAACAGAATGCGAGAAGGAAACAGCGAAGGCAAAACACAAGCAACAAAACACAAAGCAGAACAGGAACAACTCCAGTTGGCCATCTCTGACCACTGTAAAAGACAAAACCACATTATGGACTGGGACGGAGCCAACATTATTGGGACAGAGGAAAACAAACACCGTCGCTGGATTAAAGAGGCAAATGAAATACGGAAACGTGCCCACAGGACTATAAACCAGGACGAAGGAGCTTTTTTGCTCTCACACACCTGGGATACTGTCCTGAGGAAGTTGGACTGCAGATGGCGCTGTCGTGTTGTCTCCATCAGTAGGAAGACAGCGCCAAAACCTGTTTAAATCAGCTGAGCGGACACGTCACAACAACATCACGTGACCACTCTAAGGAGGGCCACTAGTGAGCAGACGAAACTGTCAGGTATGGAAACAAACTCCTGATCTGAAAAAAGAAGGTATTTTAGTTTGTATTACAGCTCATAGTAGTTGTACAGCTGCTTTCTAATGCCTGAAATCAACATAGTTCTGTTATCTCCAAAAAACAAAACCAAAAAACATATTATTTGCGACAAACCAGGTGTTTAAGTGTCTGTTACCAATGAGGTCTTGTATCTTTATGGGAAACTGTAGCAGACATGCACAGACACTTAGAGCTTTTTTATATTTAGTCACCTCTTACTCATCATTTTTACTGGAATATTGTGTAATGATCAGGATCGCTCAGCTGATTCAGGCTCAGAAAAGAATACTGGAAGCAAAAAGTGGAAAAGTTCGTAAGTGAAATTTCTGGGTAGTACATTTTTAGAGCAGTGATTGAAGTAGAGTTGTAGTAGAAAGTGTTGAGAAGTAACAAAACACATGTACTGGAGATACGGAG